ATGTACGACCGCTATTAACAATTGACAATTAATATGCTGAGTAAGCACTTTTGGAGTCAACACCGTGCTATTTACATTCTAAGGTTTCAAATTTCGCTTTTCAGGAAAGAAACACACAGTATCGACTGTATCAAATACTTTGAGAGGTAAAGGAGAAATACTGGTCGCCAATGAGCGTTTGATGGTAAAAAATTTGCGTAAAATTCAAAACGTACTGCATGCATTCATGCACCTTGATTCATGTCATTCAGCTTACGTGCAAATATTTACAGAAATATTTTGACCTGAGATCAAAGTTATTAAGTCTAACCCACACGAAACAAGTCAGCCGCATCAAGCTTTGCTTTGCAATGTTCTTAAATCAACTAAGCTCGCCTTATGTAACTGAGGCATTCAACAATGATTTTAAATTATTTTTAGGTTTTGGCAGGACTGTACCACAAACACATGCGTGAATTATCTAAAATATGCGCATTTGTATTACATAGCGCTTTCTAGGAACTGCATATTTATTGACAAAGTCAGATGAGTCTGTAGTGGGACTCGAAATAGCTCGTTCGAAGTCACGATAAAACATACTTGAGGGATTCAAGTAAAATCATATTCGAGAACCATTAATTACATTACATAATTATGTAAACGATGTTGGCATGGCTTTGTACCGAAAAATATTTACGTGAACAATAACATCTACAAATTAGCACATTTCATTATCCCAGGCGGGTATCATGAATGTTGTCTGCGCTGCTAAAGTGAAGCAAAACGTTTCAACCTTATTGAGCTGCGTGGCCGTGACGGGCATGTTTTGCCGTCAGTGACACGATTTGTTGTTATAAACCAAACGGTCAAACCAGTAGACCCTCGCTCGCAGTCATAACAACTATTAATTTCATAATAACTGTTTGTATTTTCCAAGTACTAACAATCTAGTTTTTAAGTGTCAATCTGGCAATTCGCTTTTCTCTCAGTCTAACTGAAAAGAGGAAACCATGTAACTTCCATTTTCTCCTGCTCTTGCATCTAACATCTTGTTGAAGTCGACGACGACCATTCATAAATGCTGCTACTGCCATCCGTGATTAGTCGTTTGATACTTGTTAATCTTACCATCAGCTGTCCACGCCCGAGATGAAAACCTGAAAGATTTTAAGGACACCCATGTTATCATCGTCGGAGGTGGTTATGGTGGAATTGGTGCTGCGAAAAAGTTGAAGGATCAGTGCAAGGTCACCCTAATCGATGCCAGAGATGCGTTTCACCATAATATGGGCGCACAGAGATCATCTGTCGAGACAGGTACAGTCTTTTGTGATTTTCGCGCCATTAAGAGAGAAAGATGCAGGAATAAAGCACTTTGTGATGGAATTTTTCTTTGTAATTTTTCATAAAATTAATGAAGAATAAGACACCCTTCACATAACAAGGGGTGGGATGGATGGAAATCATGGGTCGGGTACAACTGCACGTAGGTTAGGCTGCAGTGGAAAAAAAATGCACGGTTCCAGATTGAACTCCCCGCCCCCTTGCAAAGTTTTGAAAAATCGTCAATTAAAGAGGGACAAAAGTCAGACGTCACGAGTAAATGAGCAAAAACAATAGCTTTTGGTCATTTGCATTAAGTTCACCGGCATATGAAGCTTGCCATCCGGAACTTGGTCTAAAATAAGCGACGATATTTGTCCTCTGTATTGTTATCTTAAGGAAACGGTTATAAAATAAGCTTAGAGAATACTTAACAACATATAAAATGCACCGATTCTTCTTGCCTGAACTCTAATTGAGGTTATTATATGTATATATTTTATTTATTTGTTAACATTTGGAAATCACAGGTTTTGCCAAGAAATGTTTAATTCCCTACAAACCGACATTTGGTGAGAACTTCAAGCGAGGGAAAGTTGTGGACGTCAATCCATCCATTAAGGTGATTACGCTGGAAAGTGGCGAAAAACTTGCCTATGATGACCTCATTATTGCGACTGGCACAGGGGGGCCATTTCCTGCCAAACTTCCACTAGATGTAAACAAGGAGAAGGCTGTGCAAAGATACGAGGATTACGTGAAGCTTGTAAGTGATTTCAATTTTGCAGACGTTTTGTATGGCTCACGATCTGTCACACGGTAAATGTTGCAAATTTTGAATGCATGTTTAAGATACCCACAGCTTTTCAGTAGAAAAAGTAGAAAGAAAGAATCTGGGACCTTAAGACCTTGATTGATGGAAGACATTCGAGATGTTTCCAAATGTGATGAAACACATTTTCAACTCTACCTTAAGAGGGAAACGGAGATATGAAATCATAAAATTAAAATCCATATTATTACGCAAGAACATATTTCCAGACACTGTTATGATGTTGAGGTCTTCACTTTTAACTTGAAGTATCACTAATGAGCTTAACAGAGTCTGTTTCACTCCAAACGAGTCGCGATCTTCATCGTTTTTTCTAATCTTTCACCCAGGTTAAAGACGCTATGAAAATAGGCGTGGTAGGTGGTGGAGCTGTCGGCGTGGAAATAGCGGGAGACATCATGGAGGACTATAAAGACAAGGCTGACGTCTATCTGATTCATCCCAGGGAAAACTTGGTCAACGATGAGGTTAATGAGTCCTTCCAGTCCACAATAAAGGCCAAGCTTATCAGTTTAGGCGTCAACATGGTTCTCGGTACGTTGTAGAATATAGAAGAGAAGTTTGGGAGTCTTTTAAAAGAGTACTCTTGTGTTACTGATTACATATCCCACCTTGTAATATACTGCAAAAGATATCTATAAGATGGACTGTGATTTTTCCTTAACATATCTTGAACAATTGGCACCTATTTCCAATGAAAAATAATCACCAGGCTAGTTTCCCCCGAATTCCTCTCAAACTTTTCAGGTGACTTTTTCTTTTCATTAACGAACGCTAAAGCGGTAAATGTTGATGCCGGCGTGAATTGGCATAAAGTGATTTTAACTGACTAAGCATTCGTCTTTTCCACCTCAGATCACCAAGCTGTAGACAACTGTAGTTCTTGACATTTTTTTTAGCTCATTTATGCATTTCTCTTATTTATGCAGGAGAACGAGTGGTGAACATGGACGAAGTGAAAGAAAAGGGTTTTCAGAACGTCATGCTTGTAACAGACAAAGGAACCAAGATGAAAGTAGACCTAGTCATTCCTTGTACTGGGTTAAAAGTCAACACTGAAGCATACAAGAACAATTTGGGTTAGTGTTTATTCTCATGAGTTAAACATTCTATTCGTTATTGTAATCCGGCAATAGTTTGAGAGAGTACAGTGTAGTTATACCATCACATACAGTATGTCGGTTTTGGTTTCTCTTACAGGGGATAAAATGAACCGGCTAGGTCGTCTCAGTGTTGACGAATTCCTTCAAGTAAAAGACGTACCAGATGTTTATGCTATTGGTGACTGTAATGATGTACCTGAAATCAAGCTCGCTTACGGTGCTGAAATTCAGGGAAAATACGTCGCTGACAACTTGAAACTTAAACATGAAGGAAAAGCCATGAAGCCTTACAATGTTAACAGTACGCTTACCTTTTTAATCTCGTTATATTTTGTTTTGTTAACATGAACGAATGTGTGTGTGTGTCTGCGTTCAGGCCAACCATCCAACATTGTTCCCTAGACCGTGCGACATTCAAAATGTGATAGAGACTACATGCTTTTTTCAATGAAATTGTGAGTATGTAATCTTATCCATCAGTGCTTTTATTAGCATTTTTCCAGCTGACTCGCAATTTTGAGGTTCTCCAGCCCCTGTTCAAGGAACATACATTTAGGCCAAACGTTAACTTGGCGCCGATGGTCAAAATAATGAAAAAGAAATTTATTTTGCTTTATCCCCCTAAACACCAGAACTAATTTAGAATTCTAATATGAGTTGAGTATCGACCCTAAAAAACTCTAGCGTGTGTTTTAATTATTTTGGCAAACTGATCGGTCCTTTACACTGGCGAACTGTCAATAACGACAAACCTGGTAAACTTCCATTCTTCGAGTCTATAAAGAGTAATTACAAATGGCACTCGAGGTTTGTCTGTTATTCTTTTCTTACCCAATGTACGTTTTGCTTTTCAGAGAGTGTATTCATGGTGCTGTGCTGTGGACGATCGGGAGGTGCCGCCCAAGTCTGGAGGGGCTGGGTCTTTGGGGATTGGTTCGCTTCAATGATCAAAGGGAAAAGCGTCTTTACTCCAATGCAATGGAAAAACATGGATCAGAAGATGCCAGAAGATTAACCTGCTGTGTATTTTTAGTCATGAAGACAAAGTTTAGTTTAATTTAGCCGGGTAAAAAGAGATCTCATTGATAGCATTTATTACGTTCACCACTTATCTGATCTAGGATGGTTCTAGCTTTTTGTATGAAGACTTGATGAAATATTATTGTATAGTTTGCCTCTATTATAAATAAAAGTTTCCATCAGTTTCATATTTTGTTTTCATATATATTGCTGTCTGAACTTGAGCTGGATTCGCACATCACCTTCCAATTGTTCTCAACTTCATTATTCTCCTAATCTATGTTGGAAAACATAGATTTAGAAAATGTTGAAACATCTTAGAGAATACTCAGAAATGTGTAAAGAGTCCTCAAATACTTAATTTTTGAGAAACAAACACTGATGAACTTTAAGAGAAGCCTCTGTCTGTCGTTACAGCATTTGAGCACTCTGGCAAATTCCTCAGCATTTGTTATCCTTTATACCGAGTGCTACGCGAGAAATATCGTTTTTGTAATATGTTTTTGACTAAATTGTGGGAGACTTAGTTTGGTTCATATATCACTCTACTACCCGACATAACCGTTTAAAAAGAGTCGTTGAATCCATAGCGTCTACCAGTTTTTGATTCCAATTTTGTTCTCTTTTTACCCAGCCTTAACCCTTTAACTTTCGACCAAAAACCCACCAGCATTATTCAATTTTCCGTTTTTTTCTGCAAATAAAAGAATGTGCGATATGCCTGCCTAAAGTTTGAACTGAGGCCAAAGCGAGGGATTTCAGTTTAGCGGGTCGGTTATCGGCATGCTTAGTGGCTCGGGTAGCTGTTCTTTTAAGCCACTTCATCCATAGAGTGTTTTTTCCTTTTATTTTTTACACGCACCCATTAGCCAACCACCACTCAGAAGAACTTTGCAAACCACAAAGGTCCGAAAAACTTAAGAATCGTGCAACAGCAAAAGCTCCCTTGAAAAACGATGCAAATACTTCGAGTCTAAATATGTTATCTGTGCGTTATCTGAACTTTTTGAATTCGGCTCTCGCATGATCCCAGTAAATGCATGCCTGAGACAGATTTGACTATTTTAAAATATTTATTTCTCGTCCTGAGTACAATTGGTAATAAATAACAGCTCTTATATATATATATTTATATTGTATTTTTTACTTTATATTTTGAATTTCACTCATGGTAAATAACCTGACAAATTAACAGCCACATCTCATGTTTTAGAAACACGCGGCGGGCTTGGAAGAGGGCGTACAACCGCTTGTTTGCCTGGTGATTTTGTTTTTAATTGATTCTTTGATTTCTTTACTTCCTTTTTACTTTCGTCTGTACTGGAGCTTGAGCTGCTGCTGCTACTACTTTTGCTGCTTGTTTTTTTCTTGTTTTCCTTCTTAAGTGCATGTTGCACAATTCTCTTCTTGACAAGTTGGAGGGTTTTCCTGCATAGGAAGCATAAACATGATAAATAACAGTTGCCCAAAAGGGCCGATCGTTTACCTAGCTTCCATCTCAGAAAAATGTAGCTTCAAGGAAGCGGTTGGGTGAAGCAAAGGACACCAGAAAGATGATATTTTGTCATAGTTCCTTCAGAAGCTTCACAAAATTAGTTCATTTTGGCAGTCCTTAGTTGTTGTATAACAGTCTTTGATCGTGTACTTTTTTTTTTTTTTAACTTAACATCACCAAAAAATGAATTGACATGGTAATGGAACTAAAAAGCCACTTACAAAGTAGTATCCTGCTGTTTCGTGTCCTTCGTCTTCTGCAGAAATTTAGAAAACAAGGTCACATCAGAAATGATCAATCAATCAATCAATCGATCGATCGATCGATCGATCGTTCAATCAGGATCAGTCAGTCAGTCAATCAATCCATCAATCAATCAATCAATCAATCAATCAATCAATCAATCGGTCGATCAGTCAGTCAGTCAGTCAGTCAGACAGTTAGTAAACTAGGAAATATTTTTGCCCATTTTAAAACCTAAATTTTGTCTTAAGGTATCCGTTTGTCTCTAATTGATGGTTGAATAGTTAGACATTGCTTTGTCGCAAAATAAATCGATAGCTTGACTTCGATGGCAAAACTACGTACTGCTGTAAAACGCAAATAAAACCTTAACATTACAGAGAACTACACTCTAAATGTATCAACGAAATTTATATGCGATATTTGATATTTGATTATTATGCAAAACATAGACGTACATGTTGTCTTACCTTAAAGGCTGTAGAGAATACTCTGTTCAGCTGATCATCTCTCGTGATCATTTAACTTATTCATTAGCATTAGTCTCTAGTTAAGGGCTTCTGGTATTAGCACGTTACACCTTTCTCCGCTGTTAAATGCTAAGTTAGATCACAATAGATTTGAATGATTAATATCATTAATATCACATTATTATATCTTTTAATGATTAGAAAGTTTGCACTAGTTACACTGAAGTTAAAGAAACATCTTCAATTAGAAAGGTTACGATGATTATTAGCTGGTTAATACATAACGCAATTTTATCCGTGCAGTGTTTTACAACGAGACCTCTTTCCAGGCTTAAACTCACTTCTCTCTTTTTCAATGAAGCAAAAAAGGAATGTCAGAAACACAACAAACTATATATCATTGAAGAAATTTTATTCACATCTTTAATCTATTTCCATCACCTGTTTTATTATTCTGCTTTAATTATCTTTAACGTCTCAGTCATAAATTAATCATTTCATACATTAATGTTATTAAAATATCTTTCATCAAATAAGCAGATCTTTTCATGTATAAAAGAAGCTCAAATATTCTCTTTATAACTTTCATCTTTGCTAATTCTTGATATTTACAGGCAGCCAACACGATTCGTATTTTTACAGCCGTTAAATGTGTATGAACTATATCTAAAATTGTAAACTAATATGTAACTATTCTACTCTTTTTTTTTTTTTTTTTTTTTNTTTTTTTTTTTTTTTTTTTTGCCTTATCCTAAACAACTAAAGAGACGTCATTACAATTGGGAGATAGACAACAAAAAGATAACAAAAATAGCGTGTGGCGATGTCATAAAACAAAGAGAAACAAAACGATTTGTACGAAAACAGAACGTTAGGATAAAAACAGACAACAATAAAAAGGTTTTCTTTAGTCAAAGCGCTACAACCGTTTGGCGCGATAAACGGTTGAAGAACATTAGCAACCGGAGGGTTTCCGATCGTACTTTCAGATCAGAAGTAGCATGGCTTCAACACATGCCTCGTCAACATGTTGTGATCGCACCACTTTGCTGTTTGTCAACATAGCCACCGAGGTTCGGAGAGTCTGACAATTTTCTGGGAAATAAACGCCCGCGACCAATCAAGGCACTAGTTCTCTCGGGCTGTAAACGTCGAATTTAATTTGTGAAAATTGAAACAACGGGTCTTAGTACTCTAGCCCCCCTTCGTTTTTTTTTTTACATTTGCTTTTCTTTAGCAGAATCAACAACACCAATTAATCGGAGTAATGTAAGGAATACTATGTTCTTACGTTTGTTCTGGCGCGAGCCAAGGCGCGCGATACCAGCAGTTGTGCCTCTAACTCCTGACGTTCCATTGCCGACATATCTAATCGGGAATTGTTAGTTTGCAAGTTCCCTTTTTGCAGTGGAGCTCGAGCATGTCGTATGGTGGGCTGTGTGTGTGGCTGAGTCTTCTTTTGTGGCGTGGCATATAGAGGTTCTGATGCTGGTGGTGCGTCGGGTTCATCCGGGGCGTGGAGCCTGCTGTCTTGTTCAAAGCGATCTACGTTGGCTTGAGCACGAGATAAAATAACTCGAGCACCGTCAAAGGAGCTGGGGGGTTCTTGTCTCCGCTCAGGATCTACCATATAACGCGGAGAAGTACCAATGCTTGGTTGTGGAGCGGTAGCTACAGTAGGACGATTACTTATCATGTAACGGGAACCCTGAAAAACCCGGAAAATACAATCAAAATTCAAAGAAAGGCAAGGACTAGGAAAGAGCTACCTGAAGATGAAGGAGAAAACAGTTGCTCGCGTGGCAAGCTAATTTGCCACGTGACGAAAAAGAGGCGAGATGACTCTTACCGGCAAAGATGGTGGCGCAGCACTTCGGTCCGGAGGCGAAGAGCGAACAGGCGAGGGAGTATACCGTGGCATTGACTCCGTCCTAGCAGAGATTGGTCTGGTTCTAGCTGGCCTGGCTGTCTCGGGGTGCTGTGATGCCGAGGTAGGTCGGCCTCTAGGCCTTCCTACATATCCAGTGGCATAATGCGTTGGAATCAGCGCTCGCGTTTGGTTTTGTCGAGGTGTTACGAGGCGGGTTTGAGGACGTGACGCAGGGGTGTAAACAGGCTCTTCATAGATGTGGTCGTCTTCGTAGTATGTCGGGCCAACGAACGCTTGCCTTGGTTCTGGTGGAGGACCATTTGGAATGCTATCGTCTTTAAGATATATGTCTTGCTCGTACTGAGGTATGTAGGGATCCAAACCTAATTTACACAGAACGAGAACGAAACACGTTTATCTTTGAAGCAAACCTGGAGCATCGTCGCTAGACATTAAATAAACGAGGTAAACAACAGAAAAAGCAGCAGCAGCTAGCTGCGCGTTAAAGAGGCCAATATAGATAGAGGTCCGGGGCCCCGTTTCTCGAAAGCCCCGGAAACTTTTCGGGCCCGGAAAGCCATAGTAAAACCTCGAACCCTACGATTACAGAGCTGTTTTATTCACATTTTCTTAACATGAACATAGGTTTCCTTCATACAAGAAGCTTCAGGGGTATACACTTCTCCGTGTTTAGATACGGATGAACTAAGAATGGCTTTACGGGCCCGAAAGGTTTCCGGGGCTTTCGAGAAACGGGCCCCGGGACAGTTATAGTGTTCCTGGGGGGGTCTTTTTCGCTGCCTAGTGTCCACTACGGCGAGCGTTAATGTTGTGTGCAGAGTACCACGTTTGCAAGACAGTTAGGCCTTTTACATGTACAAGATTCAAAAGCTGCCACGTCCATCGCTGCAAACGAATCTCAAAGTGGAAAAAGATTTAAAAGTATCGTTCAAAGCCAATACGCAGTAAATTACTCTTGCTCAGCCAGTCAATGGTCGTTATAAGAGACCATCTTCTCAAAACGAATTCGGGCACCAAAGCTAACTACGCTAACGATTTAAAACAAAAAAGGAAGGGGATCGAATTAAAACGATTCCTATCCTTGCCATTACTTCTTGGCTTCACAAGCAATGTACACCGTACCTTCCATATCCTCGTACTGAACCTCTTCCTCAGGGTATTTTGTTGCAGTCGGTTCTACAATGGGAGTGGACATTACAGGATAAACAGGATAACCAGTTTCCAACAGGTAATGAACTCGTTCTCTTTGCTATGATCGTGAGGAAACCTGTTCAAAAAAAAACAATTCTGTCAAGATCCTGACTTGAACTGACTTGACATAAAATATGTTTTTTCGTTTTTCTATGTCGACCGATCCTAGTTTTTCACGAACTCTTCAAAATTGCTATTCAGCTTCTGCCAACGCGATGTGGTGGTTGAAGGAGAAAAAGCTTCTTTTAGGCGACGTACCCTTAGAAGAGTAATTCTGACAACCACTCCCTTTTAATACTCAATTACATATTTTACGAAAGTTTATTTTAGCCCGCTTACCGGACGTGGCTGTTGAACTCTGTGAGCTGGCACGCCATTCGGTATGTACGCAGGCTCCGTCTGCTGTTGCTCCCAGCCCTGACGACAGGAAAAAGCCGTAGCCGAGAGGCAGTGAGTGAGGTCATTAAATCAGTTGTATACAAACGTCCTCTCCATCTACTTTATATTTTTCTCTAAAGCAAGGTACGTGTATGCGAGGAGAAAAGCCTCACAAACTTAATGGCGACTCAGGGAATTACGTACCCTGTCTACGAGTAAATAAGTACACAATTAAGTAGCTTGTTTACCTCATTGTGTGGTTTGACAGATACAAGACGTACACCAGGCGTCTCTCTGATCGTCCAAGCTGTTTCCCGTAATGCTTCGTCCGCAGTAGCTCTCGCGGACTGGCCTGCTGCGAGGGGTGGAACCTACAAAGCAAATGGAGGTTTTGTCAACAGACTATCAATAAGTAGAGGCTTTTAAACTAGGGGAGACTATGCAAAGTTTGAGCAAGGTTGAATTTTCGATACACGTACCTTTGCCTTTTTCCTTTTCTCTTTCTTTCTTCGTTTTCTTTTCTCTTTTTCTCCTTTCTCGGTCCTCTCCTTTCCCTCCGAGTCACTCTCCGAGCTGCTGCTGCTACTGCTGTTACTGCTACTCGTGCCCTTTGAACTGGAAGTTCCTACCCGATGTTTTCTCCAGCGGTCTAACCGAGACCTTCGTTTACGCCTGGTAAGACAAAAATAAAGCAACCGGAATTAATAAAACATAAACAAAATGCATCACTCATCATGTAATAGTACTGCTGAAGCGCAACAGTGCTGTTTAAATTATTCAAATGATTGATTATTCAAGCAGTTTGGCAGAGAGAAAGAAAGCGGTGGGTGGCTAAGTGGGTGGAGAGATGGATGGATGGATGGATGGGCCACAAAGATGGTTGTGCATGTGGATGGATGGACGGATTTTTACTAAATTCATCAAATAAAACAACAACAACAACAGGAAAAAACAAACAAGCAAAAAAATACTTCTATCAACAACATGAATTGAAATAGTGACTTACTCTGCTGTAAGGCTTCGCTGTGAAATAGTTGACATACCCTGCAAGGGATAAAGAAACCCTCTCACCATTACAGTTCTGTTTCCTTTTGCCGTACACGGTTTCGAGCGTTGGATAATTTCCTTTTGGCGATGATTTCCTTTAATGAACACTTCGATACTTATATGCTTGACTGTGCATATTGCTTAGAGTAATTTGCATCTTGTCAGGCGAGCCTTCTTGGTTAAAACTATTATGTTGAGTAGAGGTTTATTTCTCTTGTATATCTTCTTGAACTTAAAAGGTTTTCAATGATTACAAGAGGAAGGAAGCTTAATTAACAAAGGAGGAGAAATGCCTAACTGACTGTTTGCATAAGTAAATTAAACTACATGCTTGTCTCATTAGTTTTCGAAATGTATGATTAAATAGGCTATTTCTGAGTTACCTTTTGCCTCCGTAACAAAACGAATTTTCGTGCGAAACCATTCATATGAAATGTGTTCCGCCTACATGTTCATTTTCATGCAAATCAAACTTATTTTCGTTTGCAAGGTTTTGTCTATTGGCCGTTTTAGAGGTTTTGCCTGGAAATGAGCTCAACACTGACAGTAGACACGCCCACTTTCATGTAAATCACATATCTATCACCTCACAAAATGAACTTCATTATTTCGATCAAGAGAAAAAGTGAACTCGGAACTGGTTTATTGCTCAGATATGATCGAGTTTACCTCTGATTTGTCGATGTCTTCTCTCTTTGCCTCGTTGTCTCCCTTTTCATCGTTTTCGAGTTTCTTCAACTTTTTCTCTCTCTCCCTCTCCCTCTCCCTCATGTCCTGTCGCAGTTTTTCTCGATGCCGCATCTTGTTCCTCCATCTTTCAACATTTGCCTAACGTTATAAAGAAAGCGGCATATTGTAGAGTCATTCGCTGCATGTAGCATTACTTTTTATAGATTTTTGACCAAATAACGTGCGTACTGATTGGCTAAGTACACGTACTCGTTTTGGAAAAGGCTACATAAACGCTTTCTGCTTTCATACATCTCAAGAAGGTCAAGGAGAATTCGAAAGTAAACACTTACCTGTGGATCAAATGAAGGCAAAATTTTGAATTCCCTTAAATTTTCCGTTGCGCTCGTGTCAGGCTGGGCAAGCACGCGCGCTATTATCTGTTTCCTGATTAATATGNGATGCCGCATCTTGTTCCTCCATCTTTCAACATTGGCCTAACGTTATAAAGAAAGCGGCATATTGTAGAGGCATTCGCTGCATGTAGCATTACTTTTTATAAATTTTTGACCAAATAACGTGCGTACTGATTGGCTAAGTCAGGTACTAGTTTTGCAAAAGGCTACATAAACGCTTTCTGCTTTCATACATCTCAAGAAGGTCAAGGAGAATTCGAAAGTACTTAACTCTTAAGTAAACACTTACCTGTGGATCAAATGAAGGCAAAATTTTGAATTCCCTTAAATTTTCCGTTGCGCTCGTGTCAGGCTGGGCAAGCACGCGCGCTATTATCTGTTTCCTGATTAATATGGGAGTTCTTCATCAGTTTAGTTATATGATAGAGAGAGAGGAAATAACACGAGAAGCGTTCCACTTTTTTAGAGCAAAATAAGGATTTAGTAATCCGCAATCCTTTTAAATTACCATCACATTCAGTTAACCACACATCCGTTATTACCTTAGTTCAATGATTTTAAGACATAAGCTCAAACTATTAAGTTTACCTTGAGATTAAGAGTATCTCCGTCATCATTTAGTTCCGCATCGTTGGCAGCGACTATATTTTGAAGTTCAATCATTTTCATTTTATCCAACCATGCCTGTAGATAGATATACAAGGTCTCCCATCGTTTTGTATATAAACTAATTTAATTTATGAGCTCATTGCCTGCGTTAACGGAATCTCTTGTTTTAGCATGGCACGATGTATTTATAATTTAATACGGCATTTATGTTTATTTTAAGATCAGCTTCTTTAAAGTGAATCGCCGGGGCAGAGATAAGAGGCGGCGTGGCTGAGTTGTTAGGACGCCGGACATGAAATCCGGAGATAGTGGCTGTAAGTCCCGCTCTGATTACTAGCTGGTGCTGTTCTCGGCAGCACCTCGGCCACACGTGTAATTAGCCAAGTGGTCTCCCACCTGCCAATTGGGAGTTTTAACCATGTTACGTTTATTTACGTTATTCGTTTCAGTCTTTTTTCTTCTTTTTTTTTTTTATTTCCATTGACCCTGAAAAGCCTTAATGGGGAAGTGGTCATAAATATATATATATTTTTAAGGTTCATGCACGAGTTGATCAATTTTTTATGGATTGATGAAACCAAAAGCAGTTTTCAAAAGATATAATTTTTGTAACTTTGTCTTTAATATTTGAAGAATCGAACGTCAGTATAATTTTGTAGATTAGGTTATGTAATTGTTTCGTTATATACGAAGCAATCAAGTTTACTTTTTCATATTGAATGAGTTAGTTACTTAAAACTTTGCCTGAAAAAGTTAAAACTCTTTAACAAACAACCAGGAAAAATTAACATGTCAACACATAAACCAATAATCAACACATAAACCAATGGTTGTAACGCAATGAAAGCACTTTACCTGCGGGACGCCCGATTCAGCAATGATTCTTTCTTTTTCTTTGTTCTCCTGTACTACTTTCTCCGGGATCGACGATTTTCGTCCAACTAGAGAAGTCTCTATAAGCGGTGGCAGCTTTGCAAAACGTACTGATAACTCTTCGCGACCATGACTGGTGGCCAGTTTTTCGTCTCTCATTTGCGGAGAGTTCTCTACCACGCCTGCTAAGTGCCCCATCTTGAATAAGAGAATTGAAAAAGGTATTTCTTTTAATGCGGGAAACGCAGTGGCAAATGGTATGTGCGCCAGACTCCGTATCGAGCTCTCGTGTTTCGGGTTCTGGTCGGGTTCGTGATGTTGTGATCTTGGGCAGGTCACTTTAATCCCAAATTGCCTCTTCACCCAGGTGTATAAATGCGTACCGGCGAATTTTAAGTTTGAGTGTTCGAGGTAACCTTACGGCGAAATATCATTGCATCCAGGCAAAGTGGAGGAGGGGGAAGGTAGGGGAGCGTAGTAATACTCCTAATCGTTTCACGCTGAAGGAAAGCGGAGTACTATTGAGTACCACAAATTGTGCTACTGTTCTATTATACCTTTGCTTTTATCACTTAGCTAAAAAACAACAACAACAACAAGAAAAAAAAAAAATAGCCAGCCAATTAGTTCCTAATTTTTCGTATTAAAATCACATCTGGTTGTTGCGTAGAAAATATTTTCAAGTACCTCAATACTATTCCGCGCGTCGTCAGACGTTTTGACATGATGTTCGTGTTTGATGTGTCCATTCACAATTTTGTCGTCTTTAGGAGGGGTTTTACTCTTGGCAGGTTTGTGATCGGCATCTTTAATGTCTGTTCTTCTTCTGTATTGATGATTATGTTTGACTGGACCCCCAAGCGGAGAGTAATCTGGATGGGGCACTTTGGGACGCTTGGAGGGAACATCACTGCTGCTTGTGCTGGAAATGCTGATTACAGGCAAGGTAAAGAAAAATGTTACCAACGTTTGAAACGTTAGTAATGAGCAAACAAACAAATGACAAACCTTAGGTAACCATTAGCACTCTTTGGAAACGCATAGTAGGGGTTAACTGTTTGTCCCATTGCCGGTGCGTTTTACACATATAGTACTGTACACTAGACTATCAGATATACAAACCTTGATCTTTTCTTCCTTGGAGCTCCTTGGAGATTTTTAGGCGGAATAACATCATGGGAGGACGTAACCTTCACCTCGAGGCTTTCATAATGCTGCTCCTGTATTCAAACAACGACAACATCAAAAATATCAACAATAAGCAAAAAAACATCAATAAAAGTGAAACGATGGGTCTCCAGAATTACAAACCATGTTTAAAATTCCATATTGTTGTGCGGCATGAACTGCTGTTTCACCGGGTTAGATCAAAATTTAACCGCTGAAAACCACTTCATTACGGTAGCATCTCCGGCATTTTAACACATGAACTAAAATTATGACTAAAATTAGGATTCTAGTAGTGAACAGGCCTACATGAAGAGCCACAAAGAGTCGGCTCTCAGGCAAGCCACTCAATAAAAGAAACAATTACAAATGAACATAATGTGGCAGAAGGCAGACCAGTTCGTTATTTAGAAAGCGCGAGGGAGGCGATGTAAAAACAATGCTTAACCCACAACAAATCCATCTAGTAGCTGAGTGCAGGCTTCAATATGGAACCTAGCAGATTACAGCGCACTAACCACAACGCAACGCTACCTCCTGCTTCTAATAACTTAAAACAAACTGATAAAGAGAATGACCTTTAACGGCTCGACTTTTTTCTGTTCCCTCTTTCTCTTGGCAGCAAATCTGGTCCATACAAAGGCACAGATAAGAAACAGGACCACCACTACAGGAACAGCAATAGCTGGGATAAGAGTGGCCCATTTTGAGTCTCTCCTTGGAGCGTTTGTAGGCTCTACAGGTGCCTCTTTCACGACATACGGTCTCAACGTGATCTGAAAGAAAGAATAAAACAATACTATGGTTTCAACTAAGATGAATTTTATGGATTCTATTTTTTCTAACGGAGATCAAATTATGGAACACCTTTAGAAATGATCAAAATAGGGATGAATAGCGACGTTTTGTGAAATTGTCGTGGACATTTCCACCTAGAATGTTTGAAAACTTAAGTTCGATTAGATTCCTACACAAGACATCTACTCTGATGCTACCACTACAAGAGGGCGGAGCAATATATTGCGATTAACATTGCCCCCCGCCCTAAAAAAAAAACAAAACAAAAAATAAACAACATAAAAACACAAGCAACACAAACAAAAACAATAGGCAACATAAGTATCTACGAGAAACAAAGATTGCAATTAAACAAAAACGCTAACAAATGTATGACACCCACCGCATATTTCAAGGTAACGACCAATTCAGCCTCACTCAGCCTGTTCATTGTGTCCACAACATCTTCGGCAGATACCATTTCAAGTCCTTCGAAAACCCGGTATTCTATGTCGACAACTTCCTCTCCTACGATTGGCTTGGCCCGCCTAATGGTTTCTGCCTGTGGTGATAAACAAACAAAGCACGTTGAGTAACGTTCCAGACAAAATAAAAAAATACGCAACATAAAATGAGAGATTAGAACCAGAGTGAGTAGAGTCTGTTGGGTTTCATTGAAGTCTGATCATCATATGTAAATTACAACGCGTCTTACTTATCGATGCACCATGGAGGGCTATATCAGTCTACAGGGCACTCCATTTAAGTGATAAGGAACTTTTGTATTCAAAAGGAAGGGAGTGATTTTTCAAGATTTCTCTACTAAGCTTCCCTAACATAATTTTCAACCACAACCCCTAACATCGAGACAAACGAATGATAATTATTTAATAATGCTGTTACAATACAAGAGAAGACAACCTTTATTTTTAAATGAATTAACAAGATTGAGTACAGTATTTTAAATCTAATATATTTATTATTAGATACAAAGATAAATACGTATTGTTTGATTCAGTTTTCGGTAATTCTGGTTGAAAAACCGAAACAGGATAAAGTCAACGCAGTGCTAAAATACTGGAAGAATTGAAATATATTATATGCTTGTTTCTTACCAGTACAGTAATGTTGTCTTCTTGTCTTCTAAATCGCCTGCCTCTTTTTTCGTGCACTTGGTATAAAGCACTTTTCTTCCACGACTCAAACTCGCGCGTGGTATCTAAATTAACCGTAGATCTTCTCCAGTACCACGTTAGGTCCCGTTTTCTCCGCTCACTTCCCTTTTCCTGTCCCCACCTATACGCTGCTGCAAGTCTCACCTCAATTACCTGACGGAAAGAAGCATTACCTTCATCCTCGGTCTCGGGTACAAGTATTTGTAAACCGACAAGTCCTTCACTGCTATTCGTATTCGCCGTCGGACGAACAGGCTCGGTGGGTGGTCCTGTTGATGGGCTTACTACAGACGACGTTTTCGAGGATAAAGAGCTTCTTGCTGGTGTCAGCGTTGAAACATCTTCAACAGTGCTGGGCGACAACTGGTCAGACGACATTGTCGTCGTTTTCGAAGTGGAGATAATCGAAGTTGATACATCTGACACTTTTAATAGGGTCCCGGTTACACTGGTAGGTTTTAAAACTTGGCGAGAAGTAATCACGCCCCTCATCGTCGACAACGTAGGGGGCGTTTTAAGTGATGACGACCTTAAATCAATCGACGAAGATTTAACGTGCAGTACAGAGGTATGAAGTAAAATCTTGCTACTCTCAGTTACCGACAAGCTTTCAGAAACTGTTCTTGTTGAAAGGGAGTTACTACTTGGATGGATACGCTTAGTAGACCTTGGCATCTGAACAGAAAAATTCGAGCTTGAAGGAGTAACCGACGAAATTACTGAGGACCCAGCCGAACTTTGAGCTGTTGAAACTGTAGTCCTCAATCTGGTAACTGGCGTTAAGAGAGTTACAGACGAACTTGCGATTAATGGAGTTACTGTGGTTGATTTCAGGAGCGAAGATGTGATCGCTAGAGTCGTATCAGAGACCTTCTGGGTGGTCCCTTGAGTAATATTTAATGAAATGATCTTTGAACGATCTTTGCTTGAAAATAATGCAGATGACGAATTAAGTACATCAATTCTACTAGAAATAGTCCTCATAGATTTGGCACTGCTGACGAAAGATGTCGAGTTCATTGAACCTCTCGCTAGGGAGGAGCTGATTGCATCTACAGACCGACGACTGGATAAACTTTCCTGGGTGGCAATAGCTGTAAGGCTGCTTGTACGGTATTCGACAGAGCTCGGAGGTGAAGTCACTTGTCGTGTTGGTGTCACTTTAATCGTCGTCACTGTAATTGGCGTTGTATGGATTACTGTAGAAATCGGGAAAATCGAGACTCCTTCTTTAGTAGAAACATTTGCCACTGATACACTTGGTCTCAGATCAGGTGAAGAGGTAATGCTACGTTTCATACTTTTACCAGAAGTGGTGACTATTGTTTGTGGTAGACTTGGTGTGAATGCCTCTGAAAAACGTATTGTAGTTTCAAGAGACGTTACAGATGGGGACCCGTCAACAACTAAAGTTTGCGTTTCTAGTGGTCGAGACAAATTTGTCGTAACGCCTGAGGTTTGAATCATGCTCATAGATGATGAAGGGGCACTGCCTATACTAGCCACACTCAGAGAGGTACCTAGGGTAGAGCCGCTTGGTGTGATGCTTTGCAATGACTCCATACTAGATACGCCTGGTGTCAGCAACGACCCACTGTAGACAAAGCTTGTAGTTTGACTCGACCTCAACACAGTCGAATAAGGTGTTGAATGCGGGGAAGACCTATTTGAACTCGGTGTGTATGTGGATATTTCACTCATGTCCATCGTAAATGTTCTCATTTGGCTAACATTCGAGGCCGGTGATGTTGAAAGGGATATGGTCGTCTTGGAATCGTCGATCCCATCAGTGCTAATTACTGGAGATGATTGGCTAATTACAGCGAAACTGCTCCTCAATATCGACGCAGAATGTCCAAATGACATTGTCGAATTTCTACTCGGCTGTGAAAGACTTAAAGACAAAGTGCTGGGAAAGATAATTGAAGTTCGTGAGCTTTTAATAGGCGTGGAAGTAGTTGGCAGCATTGAAATACCAACAGACGTGTTTTGTAACATGAAGGACTGTGAAACTATACTTGTATTCAGCGACAACGAGCTGAATGGCACGGAATCGATTGTTGAAGTGACGTTGTACAATATTGATGACCGCGTAGGTATTACCGACGCAAAAGCACTACTTCTGGACATCGATGAAGCAGACAACTCCAGTGAAGTAACGTTCAAACCCATGCTCCTGAAGGCAGAGCTTCCTTGGGTTGATGTTACCACAGTACCATTTAGGGCTACAGAGCTGGCTAATTCGGAACCGTTTCTCGGTTCAGTCAAGGAAATCAGAGTTGAAGTTTTGCTTGCTGCAACGGTGAAATTCAATGTGACCAACGAAACAGATTGTCCTGACACGTAACTTGGTGACAGGGTACTAACGCTCACTCCCGTCGACGGCAATATCGAAACACTCGATGGGGACAAGGACACTCTTTGACTTGGTGTCAGCATTAACGTCGAGTTTTGCTGAACCGCACTTCCACTTGGCAGATGCAGTGTTTCACTTGAACTGATCGACTGCAATGACAGCGACGGTATTGTAAATGCCGTTTCGTTCAATAATGTAGTCGATAAAACAAAATGTGACGAGCGTCTTGATGCAAATGTGAAATTTCCAGTGGAAATTACTAAGGTAGAAGGGCTCTCAACTACAGATGAACGGCTCACTACTGTTGACGGGAAATGACTTGTAATACCTGTTTTGTTCTCCTCTGTTGCGACAGAACTTGAAATTGGAGACAACATACTGCTAGAATGCAACGTCTGCGGAGTATGGGAAAGGGAACCGGACGAAGATATAGCGTTCGATTGTGAAAACGAACTTCGCTGAAAGCGTGTTGATGTTACTAGGTCAGGTTGAGATAATGTCGTATAGACAACAGCTGTGGCCTTGACGGTTGCAGGTAAACTAGAGGTAACCGTTACCATAATGCTCGAGTCCTTCACCGCCGAAGTGGCGTTTGTTAAACTGAATGATGATGAGATCGAAGAGGTCACCAGCATTGTAGAAAAGGACGAGGTCAGGGAAAGGTAAACGATGAAAGGTTCCTGTACAACCTAAAACAATAACAATAAATAGCTTTACAAAAAAAATCACCCAGAAAAAATAAAGTTATTACACACAAAATTATAACCATGACCTGCGGTTTAGATATCGAATTAGCTTAGTACTCTACAATTTTTTCTCAGTTTTCTCATCAGCTTTAGTTTCTACTGAGAAGATGAATAAAAACAAAACAGCTTGTTTCATCACGGTTCCAAAGACCTCGAAGTTCGCCAAAAATAATTTCAACTTTCATCTCGTTGTTAGAAAATATGATGAAACTCGTTTTTGATATATCACTTCAACATTGATTAACGAGCTACTGGTTGGCCTAGTAAATTAGCAGTAGCTTGGACTCGGTATTGAGTGCTGACAGGGATCACCGTGTTCTGTTCGTGGTCTCTTAATCCTCGCAGTGCCTATTCTTTACCCATTGATATAAATCGCAACGGGCGAACTGTAAACGCATCCCTGGTAATCTGTTGACTGGTTTGATCCTAGTGAGATTATGCCTTTTCTTATAGACAAAGAAGTAGTACCGTGTATCCAAGGGTTTGATTCAATGTGATATCCGCCTGCTTAATAGTTTGAATAACATAATAAGAAAGAACTGGTTCCGTAGCATTGAGAACTTGAAACGTTATATTCACGTTGGACATCGTAGCGTTCGGAGCAGACGACCTGTCGATGCTGATGATCTAAACGTAACAAAAGCAATACAATTGAGATTAACACACAACAATTCCTGCAGTGGTTTCATGATTTTTGCCTTAATTACAATACATTGAATTGCATTGCATTACATTGGAACGCAATGCATACTGATGCATTTGTACAGATTAAAAGTTGAATAAATATATTAATTAAAATTTCGATGAAACTGGTAAACTACCTGGAAATGAGATTTAAAGTAATAATACGTAACACAACTTGTAATGACTATTTTAAAGAAATTTATGGCGATGCCCAAGCATGCTTAGAAAAGCGTCCTTATCTGTCATCCGCACATAACAGACATTAAACAAATTGTTCCCGGACGCAGGCTGCTAGTGGTGGATATATAATAATGTCCACTGCTAGCCAAAACGCTGAGAGGAATCATTTTTTCAATATGTAACAAAACAGTAGCGCAAAATATCCGCAAAATTGACTCAGTAGACTGCAGAAAGTACTTCACAATTTTTTTTTCTTTTACTTACGTTTACAGAAACATTCCCTGTTATTCCATCCAAAGTGCCGTTCTGATAAACAGTAAGAATTCCTCTCGTCAGGTTCGCTGTATCACTCAAGTTTTGATTCAAAGGAACACTGATTACGAAGCGTACGAAGGTGCCTGGAGGTACAACGGCGACCGAACTGGATTTTGTTATTGGGGAAGAGCCTGTCGCGCTTATAGTAACATCACTTGAAAAAGCCATTTGGGACGAGGCTTTCGTTGATAAATTTACAGATGAAGTTGCTGTTGTTGTTGTTGTTGCTAGTACTGATCCAGCTGTAAATGTTTGGCTTTGTGATATTCCTAATCTTGAGATTTGCGTTACCGCAACACTTCGGCCTGAAACGGATGATTTTATTGTAGACGAGATTTTAGTAAGAGCGGTAAACTCACTAGATTGATTCATCTTGGATGAAAGTGTTACAGACACATTCACTGATGCCACTGTGGTGTAGCTCTGGCTTGGCGATGTTTCTACACTTGTATTTGCCGTCAATGATGGATAGACTCGCGATGAGGGTGTGGGTGTCGTCCCGCTAGCCACACTTGTTGTTTGCATTAATGAGTTACTTTCCTCCAGAGCGCTTCTAAACGGTGTGGATGACAGAGTAGATGAGGGTGTCATGTAACTTGTGGGCTCAACTGAAACTTCACTTGACGAAAGGATTTGGGACGACAGTGGCCTTGATGCATTTCCACTTGCTGCCGTTGCTGTGAATCTCGGACTTTGTGAACTGACCGCACTCAGTGTCAGTAAATCGCTCTGTCCTAGGGTGGATGATCTTGGTGTAACAGATAACGCCATGTAACTTGTGGTAACGACTGGGACTTTACTCAATGATTGGACTAGGACTGAAGACGTTGCAGACATATTCACAGATAGCACCGTTTTTGTGAAACTTTGGTTTTGTGAACCTTTCACAGCTGTGGCAAGCGTCGATAATTTACTATGTTCTGGAGTGGATTGTTGAAGTGAAGACGAAACCGCCGTATAACCTGTGGTAACTACAGGAATATCACTTGGTGAATAAGTTCGAGATGAAAGTGTTGTTGCCAGATAACTCTGGCTTTGTGGCATGTTCACACTTGAAGTACGATTGAATAACAAAGTGGTATTGACTAATTCTGTAGAGGATGGTCTTGGTAAGGTTGGCACTGCTGATTGGTGTGTTTGGAACAAAGATGTTGCTGACACATTTAAGGATGCTACTGTTGCTGTAAAGTTCGGCCGTTCTGGTGAAGATTCTGTAGGTAAAGAGGTGAGGAGCAAGGTGGCTGTTACTTCCTGACTCCCTGACAAAGAGTTTGTGGCCAACGTAGAGAGCGAACCTGCAAGATTTGACGCGAAGAAACAAACACTACAAGAACCTTCCACTTTCATTAGCTTCAACTGATAGCTCTTTTTTATTCTCTACAGCTGCGAGTAAGAAGTAATTAGTACCGACTTTACTTTCCTGACATTTCTGAAGTTAACACACTCGATTACAAGGGATCACGAGTGTCAGAGTTTAGTTATACTCTAGCCCCCTCTTATGTTAAAATTCTGCAACAAAACTTCATCGCTTCTTTCTCGCCATATATACTAAAAGGAGACAACATTACGCGAAGTGTATGCATTGTTTGTTGAAACTTACTTTGAAAGGAGTTGGCAGCTGTGGACAAAACTCTCGATTGCTGTGTAGAGTTTACGGAAGGTCTTCTTGACGTTTCCTTGCTGATACGTGTCAGCTTCAGGGACGAAGCTGTTGACACATTAACAGATCCAACTTCTGACAGAAGCGTCCGGCTAAGTGATAAATCCACAGCTGTGGTTATGGAATAATTTCGCGATAGCGGAGTGAAAGGTGAAGAGAGTGATGAAGTCGTCAACGACAGGGACTGAACTGTGGTCTGAAGAGCCGGAACATAACTTGATGAATGAGGTTGAGACGAATGAGTTGCTGTGGTAATTATCAATGAAACTGTCGCTGTTGTTCTCTGGTTTTCAGATGAAGATTCAGTTCTCGAGGTTGAAGCCAAGCCTATAGAATTCGATAATAAAACAAAGTTAATAGAATAACCCGTTGCCAGATCTTGAACGGCGGACACTTTCACTTAAGAGTCTCACACAAGAACATGGTAACCGATAGACCTACTTCCAGCGACCCAACAATGATGTTTATGGAATCACCGTAGATAAGAGCCCGTTTCACATAATGGTTCACTTTAATTAATAAGTCAATGATGACTCGTGATACGGGTAATAGGGTCTGCAACGTGCTTCATGTAAGAGGGTTGCAACAAAGCCAATCATCACTGAAAACTTTGCTTCCTTTTTGCATTTAGCAAATCCCCAGTGGTTAACTATTTCAGAGTATTTTTTTTTTTTTGATTTTGAAGAAGAGCGTACCAAATTAGAACATTTTTAGTGCTGTTTTTAAACTGTTGTTGCAGTATTGACCCATAAAGTCAGTTTTAATATGTCTAACATGCACTCTTCAAGTAGTGATTAACAATAAAATACTTAAGGTTTAAAATTACTGTTATTCATTGTTTACATTTTACATTTTTTTACATTTATTCATTTAAAGTTACTTGTTTCGGATTTGTGAAACTTACTTGACTTCTCATGCAAAAAAGAAGACCTTCCATGCACTGAAACTGAATGGCTTGCTGTCCTTGAGGCAGTTTCTGCAAATGTCGCCAGTGAAAGCCTCTGAAGCGTACTGGAAGTGTGCGTTTGGTTTTGATCTGACCGGGATGAAGCTGTATTTACGACAGAGAATGAAGACACCGTTTTGATAGTAACCGAACTACTAATGACAGAGAATGATTCAGTCTTCGATGAGTTTCGCAAACAGGGAATCATTCGCGATGCATTCGTAGAAACCAGTTGGGAGGCAGCCGAATCTGACTTCGAGGTTGCCATGGTCACTGTTGGTAGCGTTAACGTAGGTATGAAATCGGATGTAATCTTTTCTGCTGAGAAAGATGTCTTAAATATTGGTGTAATTGATGTAAACGACGTCGATGGCCTCTTGATAAACGTGGCTGTAACAGAACCTTCCCTGCTGTCAGGCTGGGAAAACGAAACTGTCCAATTTTTCAAAGGAGGCCCTGTTGAATGTGTAGAGGAGACCAGGTATGAAGAACTCGTGGGCAGAACAGATGGCGTAAGATCTGATACAGTGGCGATGCTTTTATCTTCTGGTGATTTTGATGAAATATAGGACGTGGAAGTTTGGAATTCCGATATTTTCAGAGATAGTCCGAGTGTATAGGCAACCGAGCTGCTGCCTGAAGGAGTAATGGTTGCTGTCACGAATACTTGGGTCGTGGAATCGATGGTGGTGGCGGTCACATTAAAAGAGGATGACGTGAACGCGGAACCTTTTGTATTCTCTAGAGTTGTAGATGCTCTCAGAAGTGAAACTCCCATAGTAGAAATGTTCTTATACTCGGACGACGGCAAAGGACGTACGGCAGTCGTCGTCAAATTTGAAGTGGAGTTTAACGAAGAAGTGTTCACAATAGAAGACGAGATTGACGCAATGGACGCGTAAGGGGACTGTCTCGTTGCCGTAGCTGATTGAAAAGACAAACTGGGTAGTACTTGACTAGAATGAGGCGTAGTCTTCATTGGTTGACTTGAGTCAGGCGAAATGCTAGATCTTCCAGCTGTTTCCTGCGGGAAATTCAATGAAGCAGAGAGTGATTTCGTTGCCATGAGAACTGAGGTGGACATCGAATTTCTACTGTATGTAAGAGACCCATTTGACACGAATAGAGTTTTAGATGTTGAAAGTGGTTGTAATGAATTGGCAATGCCAGGTGAACTTGGAAATGACACATAATAATTATTTACAGTACTTTCCGCTTGCGATAGGCTTGCTTGCTTTATTGACGTCTCTAGTCCAGTAAATGAAGATAATGCAGTTGAACTCTGCCCTTTGTCTTTGACAGAAGTGTTAGGTGAAAATCCAGTTGGATATGACGTCACAACGGAGGAGACATCAGGTGTCTGTTTGGATGAGTCGAAGGTGGATATCTCCGTAACTGAAACTCGATTGGACGATGACATGGACTCGGAACTTTGTCTGGTTTCTGAGGATCTGGAGTTTCCGAATGTGCTATGCATCGTTTGATTAAGCTGTAGAGTTTTTATACTGCCTTTTCCAAGAGGTGAATTACTGACGGCCGTGGCAAAAGATGAGTGAACACCAATGCGGCTCGGCTCGGAGACTGAGATGGATGGTGATAAACTGTGAGTAGCCGTCTCATTCGACGCGGGAGCTTTAGATCCATGAACAGTTGTCATGAGCGTAGACATAGTTGAGGAGATATACGACGCCAAGTCTGTACGCAAGGTTAGCGGGTGGTTTTCGTTTGAAGTTTCCAATTGGCTACCTGAGTATGATCCACTGGTTGTTCCAGGAGTTGCATTGGAATGAAAGCTCCCTTCGTGCTCAGTGCTAAGGAGTGTTTCGGTGGAATCACCTTGGTGGACAAACGCCGAAGAATTATTGACAACGAAAGATGTCCTTGTATGTGAGTTATGAACTAAGGAACTGGCTACTGTCACAGATTTCGAAAGTATCAGTTCCGTAGAATCTATAGTACCTACGAAATTCCCAGTTGCCGTGGAAATCGTTTGCATTATTGTCGTTCGAACTTGAAAATAAGTTGATATGCTTGCTTCTTGAATACTTGACTGAAAGGAATGAGGTGAAGCAATGCCATTGCTACGCGATGACATAGAGGAAGAGTTGCTTCGATGCCCTGACAACGAATTGGTTATAGACAAAGTCAAAGTAAATAAATTGCTAGATAAGCCACCCGAAATTGTTGTAGAATTCGAAAGTATGCTTTTTGTTGCGCTGATATCTCCTGCCGAACTCCCAACAACATCTTGCGTTACAGGCGATATGATTTGCAAGGAACTCGAAGGGTTTGTGTCTTTGGAACTTAACTGCACTATGGTGGCAGAACTCCTGTCACTACTACTTGATGAGGAAGCGTTGCTTTGATTCCCAGATAATGAACTACTCGTAAACAATGCTAATGTAAGCGGTTCGGTAAATCCGGTGATCGAAAGCGACGAAGCTTCTAACAGCGAACGCACACTCCCCCCAACGCTTTGAGTAATGGGTGCCGCGGTGGTAACGAATGATAGCGCCATTGTAATCGGCTCCGTTGAACCAACGATAGGAAAGTTTGAAGATCGAAGAATGGTGAGAATGTAGGTCTTGTTCAGAAGTGAAGTGGGTGTGGTTGTGCTGGTGCTATTGACTGAAATGAGATGGTTAGAACAATTGCATTAGTATTTTATTTTACACATTAGTTTGAGGTTAGTCTACATAAAGAGTCAGATAGGTGTATAACTTGTTCGTGTAGGGTAGCTGTGTGAAGCACTTCGTTACGAAAAAAAGCCCGCTTTGCAATGAGTGCTTGTAACAGTTTCGACGAAATGATTGATGATCCCCACTTTGCACATGGTCACAACACAATTGCATTAGCCGTGCTGCTCAGTCACATTTTTAGTCACATTGTCGATTAGTTATTCACACAAATCGGGGATTTGTGTAAAGAACGTGAACCTAAATTAATCCAATTTTGTAGTAGGTCCACTAGTTGTCCATTGTTGCTATACTTACAACAACGAACGTCCATTATAACGAGTTGCTTTACACACCAGGTGTTCTAATTAGTAATTAAAGTGGGTAAGATTAGTGATAATATTAAGTAGTAATACTTAACTATTAATATGCATTTCACTTTATACATTACATTATGACATTAATTTACCCACTCTAAAATAACAATCAAAACACAAAATAATGAATGAAATTAGAGTGAAGATCGCTTACAATCAGCAGCGAATTATCATGTAGGCAAGAGAACCGCCTACAAACCTGTAGAATTGATTGTCAGTACTCATATGGGTGACAGGCAAGTGCTTAAAACAAGACAAGAGAAGATAAAGGTAAGAGAATGAATCACCTATAAATAGGCCGGCACATTCACTTTTTATTGTTTGTGCAGGGGACATCTGCCTCCCAATTAAAGTCCTATTAAAGTTCCGAAATGTATTAAAACATAGCGAGGGCCGAAGCTCCTTTGCTTATTTGATATCAAAGAAGACATCACCACAGCGGTCGAGGTTTTCCTTCGCTTGAAACGAAACGAAAACATACACGTACTAAACAGATTCTCCTGGAAAACATCAAGATTTACGTTGAAGTGTAAATTTTAAAGCTACAACATCATTAAAGGGAGACTAATAATCCCGATTATATTGCTATAACTGGTTTAGCAAAAGACCAAAAAAAAAAAACAAAAAAAAAATGAAATTAAATTAAATCAAAAAAATAATAATAAAATTGTGATAAATTAAATAGGAACTCATTGAACATACACAGCTGGTCATGTTAATTTTTCCTTAAATCGGTGTTATGAGTTTTCCACAGTATTACTAGTATCATACAACTTCAGTCATCGTTTTTAAAGAAAAACTGAATTTCCTTGCGGTAAATAGGCTGTACCAGAGGTCTCCCAGTCTCCCGGGAGCCGTCAACGTTTTGATATATCACTCTCAGTTGTGTCCTTTCAAAACAGTTTTAAATATGGAAAAGAAGTTCAATAAGGATGAGTTGCCTTGACTCTTCTGTCTGTGCTACTTGTGTTTTCGTGGCATTTCTGGGCCGTTTCAACGCGGTTTTAGCGAGTTTTGTTAATTTTACTGTTTTCAGTCCTCTCCATATATCATTCATACAAACTCTTATGTTTACGCTGCGTTAAGCAATTAAAATGTTCACGGGTCTCCAGGAGCGTGGACGACCTGTGGTTGTACATGCAATTTTAATTTGTTTCGATTAGTATGATATAAGAAACTTTTATTGCACGTTAAAGGTAGGCCATTGTGATGACTCACTAGGTTAACACTTATTTTTTTTTAAATTTTAATCAAAGCATTATTTTACGTACATACACCTTTGTAAGCTCATGTAAAATTCGAGTCAAGGCTGAACCAAGACTGGACCCTTCTAGTTTTTCCTCACGCTATCACGTCTTAAATGTTCTTAACATCGACTTGTTTTTCAAGTTCTACAAACTTTTAAAGTTATTTTCAATCGGAACAAATGTGTATTCAGGCATGTTGGGCTCTGCAGTTAAATTTCTTGAGATATTCAAATGTTAAATTGTGATCTATTTAGCAAACAGTAGTCACAAACACACTTGAGCTTTAATACTGAAAATAACAACTCTATGAAGGCTGTTGACTCCGTACTACACAGCACAATCCAACAGGAACGAGAGTTGATACTTTAGGAACTCAGCGGTGGCTATGGTAAATACACGATCGACAGGTTCTAGAATTTGGCCAAAAACATGTAGCCCATTGCCAGATTCATGTACATTTCATGCCAGTTTATTAAAGCTGAAATCGATCACTTGTGATCGCTTAGACGCCCAATATTCTGGGTTTTTTTTCGACAAACAAGTTGCTAAGGTGATCATGCATAAGTACGAAGTAAAATTATACAATGATGATGCAGTGGATTTGTTCCACTGAAATAATTCAAATTGATCTTTTGAATAGGCCTATACATCGTTGACAACCAATCACCTTGACATTCATATTCAATGTTTCCAGTGACTCATTAACAGTAGTTATAACAAAAACACAATGTAATTTCTAAAATAATCAGTCTCTCCTGTTGTAGTTCTAAATTTTCTTCCGTCGCTGGTAGGAAATTGGCCATCATATACTGCACATAAATGGCATATGATTTGCGCAGTCCTATATAAAGTCAAACACAAAATGTGCTTTGCATCCCAGAGCCTTTCAAACCAGGGACTTTCAGAGGATAATGGACAATACTTGCGATGACTTACACCAAACATTTCATCTATAGTGGCTCTACTCCTAAATTTTGAAATGCGAAAATTTTAGGGTATCAATTTCGTATGCAAATTCTTAGTGAAATGCACTCACTGACGACAGTGTAATTAGAACCCGCCGTGTTAATATCAACTTGACTTTGCGAAATCAAAACATTGTATTGTCCACGGAGCGATATGAGATTGTTATTATCCACTAATCTTCCCTAAAGCATTCACTTTTAAAGAAAGCAGCGGATAAAATCCTCACAAAAGTTTGTCAATCACAAACAGTTAAACGAATCAACGAAACTTTTTCAGTAAAACATATGCTGTCGACGTATCAAGGCCTCCGGGTTAGATAAGAAAATTATTGACCGCTTGCTACTTTGATTAAAAGTTAAAACGCCACAACAGAGCTCTATATAAAGATACAAACAATCTTTAGTCAGCAAGTTACAAAGAGGTACTGCTAACTTGTTCGCAAGGGAAAATCATACCCAATGTTGACCTCAAATGAATTTTATACTTACCATTTTCGGAGGATGAGTTTACTCCCACCGAATGACTCGAATAGCCGGAAATGGCGGTCGATACAGCCCTAATTGATGCTGGAAAAACCGAGCTATCCTCGCTGGAGATCGAAGATGCATTGCCTTCACCAGCGACGGAACCACAACAGAAAACCAACAAGGTAAATAATCCGACCAGAATGGCCGCGGTGGAGTGCTGCAATCGCACGGTTGTTCCTTCAGACGCAGTGGAAGATGTTCTTGTTTTCTTATTCATCTATTTCAGGCGTTGTTGTTTCAACGTCGCTTCAACTTCATGTCTCAGGCGGCGTTTCATGAGGATTTGTTCTTACACACGCCGTAAATCTGGAAAAAACCGTAGACGTCGAGAAAATGAACAGGGCATCACGCTCTGTGGACTGCATTTAGAGCCCCATGGAAACACTTCAATAACCTTGGCAACATGTCGTTCCTTTCAATTAATAACGCTAATCAATATTTGATTAGCATAAGTTATTCCCTCGGGACAGACGGGCATTGTTGCAATTTAACACTTCAAAAAACCGTCTCTTTTCTCTCAAAATAATATTCGCTAATTACGAAGTTATTAATAAAAATTTAGTGGGATTACGGTAAGTCACGAAGGATCACAGAGTTGTGATAACATGCGTGTAGAGGAAACAAATTAATTCCCATTTGATATCGATGAGTGGCTGTTGATTTACGCTCCAGTGTGGCTTTTAGAACGTATGTATAAATTAATTTTTCGTTTCCACGCAACGAAAACAAGCGCTTTTCCACAATCTGCTGACTTCATGAAAACGAGGCTCGATGATCGAGATAGTTCCATAGATTTCAAGATGTTTAAGCAACCTATTTACGGAAGGAAAAAAAAACTTTTTACTAGCTCAGCAGAGAAATGATTTTATTTTGACTAAATAAGTCTGTCAGAGATAACTAAAACAAGGCTTTGAGGTCGGTGAAAAAACAGAAGTGGTATTCTTTTGTTAATAGTGTGGATAAATACGACAAATAACAGTAATCTAATCTAATATGTTGCACTCGTTAGCTTGATGAATCAGAAACAAGGCCATATTAGCGGGGTGGGTAGAGGGGGTCGGGGGGGGGGGGGACGGAAGGTTTGTTTTGAGTATCCAACATGCCGTTAACGTTTTTACCTAAGTATCCAGTATCCCTAAAACCTCTAATGTCGCCTCAGAAAGCAGACGTCTTGGTCAATACCCAGCCCCTGGGGTAGGCCTGCCCCGATTGTGCTCGGCAACTTTTGAGCGACTTTTAGCGTTTGGAGCAATGTGACACAACTTACCCAAAGGTTTCTTCCTTTCCCTTTTAGTACGCTAATCGAGCGTGCTAAGAGAAATTTTGACCAACAGAAGATTATTCAGTGAAGTCATGCACAAAGACTAGAGACCGCTGGCATATTTGCGGGCTTGACCTTTTGAATATTCAACTCCAAAACAGAAATCTGAGGTGTTAATTAGTCCCAGTTAGCATGTCATGTGGCTAATTAATAATGCCCTGAGTTTAGATTAGCTAGATAATGTGGATTTTGTTTCGGTAGAATTTCGACAATCTTATTACATAGAAGATACGAGAAAATAAAGCCTTCCAGCTCAACTTCAAAACATAGATTCTCCTTCTCAATCCATGATCAAGTAGTCACCTGCCTTCCCAAAATCTTCCATATTGCAAAGAAAATTTAAATGTTGAATAGGGACTGTCTAGCTGTCGGCCGCAACCTCGGAAATAGATTTCTATTGATCAAGTAGTTCTTTAATTGCCAAAAATAAAATATAGCAAGTTTCAAAAGAGTTTGTATTCTTTAGTTTTCAGTCTGCGCTGTTTTAAATTTAACTTAGCTAGAAAGCATTGTCAAGCACAGTTTGTCATGGGATCATACTATATGCTTACATTTCTGCCCCTGCCATTCACCTGATTATGCGAGTTAAAATGAATATTTAAGTTAAAGAGTAGTATCTCGATTTTATATATAAAAAAAAAAAATGCTCATACAAAGGTAAACAGCGAATTACTTTTAACAATTACTTCAGAATAATAAAACTACTAAGTAAAATAAACGACTTAATTTAGGAGGGTGAAGTAGGTCGACAGATTGATAACGTTAATTCCCCATAGCTTACATGGACTGAAGTTGCGAACTCCTCTATGTTCAAGGTGTAGTAACGAAAAACGTTATCAAGCTATTCGTTCTAAATAAATACACGTATATTCCCTGATATATGTCTTTTATCTCAACCAGACGACGGCGAGGAGAAGTATCTCTTGTACATCTCTTTTTTGACAGTCAAAACGACATGACGTGTTTCCATGACAACACCAACAGGTCATTGTAATGGAAATACGCTGGTCCTTTTAATTTAAGTCGGTAACTTAAAACGAAAGAGACATAATTGACTTAATGACTAATCTCGAAGCAGATTTTGTATTTATTATTTATTATCTCTATTTTATCTTTTCGGTCGAGAACATTGATATTTCAGGGCTCAATAAAATTAACTTAAGACCAGTAACTTGCTGTATATGACTGGATTTGTTAAAAGGGCGTTTGCACCAAAGAGACCTCAAAGTTACTCCAAGCTTGGTTAAGAAAAAAATAAAATGAAATACCTGATAGACATGAATTTGAATTTTGATACAGTCTACTCTGGAGACATATATTTCCACAGCCTGTTGACTGAAAGACCTGGAGAGGTCAAACATGAGCAAGTTGTTTACTGTCGATCGAAGAAGAAAAAAAAGAAGAACAACAACAACAACAACAACAGAGAACAATAACTGCATCTTACAGCCACATTTTATTGAAAACAAATATGAAATTGAGTACCTGATTTAATTGTAATGGCTATTCTGGTGGAGTACCCGTTTGATTTCTAATTTTACTTTACTGAACCATGACGGGACGCACGGGGCTTCTACTGTAAGTACTGCAGAGAAATGGAAGGAAATGTTCCTAACATTCCTTACATACTCTCACTAGGGTTCTTCGCCTTGCGGCCAGGGAAGGCGTCACAATCTGTTTCAGTGACATGTCGATGATATTAAATAAAAAAATAAACCAGAAAGGGCCGATGGAATGTGAGACGAGCTTTAAAATGAAGTCACGATATTAATAGAGTTTTAAAAGTAAATAGTGCGTTCGAGTCATTCCCAATGCTTTCAAATGATGGCGGACTCCACCGACGCCAATAATCTGGAACAAAACAAGGTCATTATATATCGGATCACGTCTAAACACACGTGAAGAAAGACTTGGGCAGGAAAAAAACGTGAGCGAGCAAAACCGGGGAATGCCAATAAATCAAGTAATCCAGCAATGATGAACGAATTACACAACATGAACCTTCCTCTGCTTTTCCCCCTTAACCAAGTTCAGATCCACGAACTAAACTTAAAGATACCAAAGTGCCTACGAATAGATGTTGAACGCGGAGAGCAGACGTAAATGTCTTGTTTACCCAATGAAAGCTATCACAATAAACTCTGAGCTTGCATCAAGATGCTTGTCTGGGCGTAAAGGAGCGTTTAATTATTCAGTCTGACACAGATCTTGAGGAATAAAAACCCAGATGACCTGGAATACTTGTCTGAGTATGTCGTTGGCAGTGGGAGCCACGTGCAGTATTATCATGCTCGGCAATTGAAGTTATTGTGTAGAAAGTATCGCACAATTACACAGCCGAGGGCAAAAAAAAAAAAAAAAAAAAACGCGAGCAGACTGACTTAGTGCATGAAGCTAAGATCGATTGTCAGTGCTTTAGGTGACCATGCACGGCTACCAATCGCTTGGCCAATCGCTTTGCCAACGGCTCGTACACCCAACGAATCGTAAAAGTCCGTAAGTAACGACCTCCGAAAGAACTGAGCCCACCCCCCATTCCCTGAAAATAGAGCAACTAAGGTTCAAAAGTATAATCAGTTTTCCAATCAATAACCTGAATAACGTACGATAAACTGATGACGATTCAACTAGGGCAGGTATAGCTTATTCCAGGATGCGTCATGAACCGCCTTGGTAAAACAAACCCCGCAAAATTTTCATCAAGTAACAAGAAGGTACTAACAG